GTCCGCATTGTCGCGGAAACTGTCCTGGTACCTCCTGAAGTAGAGGGTGAGCTGGGTGATGAAGTTGTCGAGTTTGTCTGGGTCCTCCCCATCGAAGGGCTCAGGGGTCGTGCCTTGGGGCCCTCGTGCAGCCTTGTCAGTGCGGCCTCCATGGTCCGCGCGAGGCGGCGATTGGTCCGCGTGAGGCCCGTGAGGAGTCGAACCACAGAGTGCGGATACGGAATCTACTGTTAGACTCTACAGAACTGCGGAGTCTGCGGAGTCGAAGGGACCTTGGCCTCAACGTATTGCGTTGTGCCCACGCTGGTGGTATATGGTCCAACCCGAAAGGAGAGGGGAGGTGAGGAAGAGAGAGACGCGCCTTGCAGCGGAAGACGAGGAGAGAGAGGAGAGAGCCTTTGCGGAGCGGGAATCAGGAGCACTGTGCAGATATGCGGAGTATGCGGAAAGATCTAGTAAGCCTAAAGGCTCAAGACTGAACAGAGGAGAAGTTCTGTATAAGTCTGATTCGAGATTCCGGATGAGTATCTACTACAGAAATCTAGCCAGCTTATATATCTGTAGATACTCTGGATATACTCTGGGACAAGTCTGGGACAAGAGATAAAACTGAGTCATAAGAAATGCGGAATACTGCGGAATACGAAAAGGATGAGTAAGTCGATTCTAAAGAACAATAGCAAAGCAAGGATGAAGTCATAAGGAAGCATAAGGGGTCACATGCAGAGTCTGAGCGCCTAGAGGGCAGTTACAAAGTTTCTCCGCACGGTCCGCACCGGCCCTCAGTTGCGGGCGGTGTCGTATGGGCGGCGCTCTGCATAAATGCGGAGCGGAGTGTCTAGCGCCTGTAAACTCCGCATGCGGATTGACTGCGGAGCATGTGGGAGTGCGGAGGGAAGGGTTGCGGAGATATGGGGATGTGGGATGCGGAGAGGTGATGGCAAGTGTGGGAATGTGCGGGATCATGCGGGATCATGTGAGACTGTGCGGGGAGCATGGGTCAAGGCTGGTGGGTTGTGGGTAGATGTGGGTTGGGATGTTTTGAGACCCTAACACAGTGTCCCGAAGCCCTTGAAAAAGTACATTGACTGAAGAGCTTCGGCTGGGAGTTCAATCCCCCAAGTCAACAGGATATTTGAAAGGTTCCTGACAAAAGTGGCTTGGCGGGAGTTGGAGTGTCGTCCACCGGTGATGTACCAGTTGGAAAGGGTCGCACCTTTCAGGTGGCCATGTATGGCCCTCCACCTCATGGCTCCCCTTGACAATGACGATGACTGTCTGACGATTTACCTCCCGGGATTGACGGATTGGGACGAGGCCGGGAGGGGAAGTTTTTCGGGGGGTGGAAGGGTGTAAGACCGGTGGCTTACAGCGGTTCCCATAACGCTCATATACCCAGCGGTGGCTGAAGAGATAAGCTCTTCAGTCACACTGCCTTTTGGTGTAGCGGCTAACTTCGGCTATGTGCGTCGGCTACTCGTCTTACACTTTTGACCTCATCCAACAAGGTACCGATATGATGGATGTGGTCCTTGATTCATTCCGCGGTGTAAATCCCATTCGTGCCTTATTACCCTGTAAATTGTTGGCCATCGTTGAAACCAGACCCGCACCTCAATCAACATCTCTTGATATTCTCTATCCTTGCCAGTGTTTGCGACTGCTAGTTCTATAGCAGTGTGGTCCGCTCACCCAAAAATAATGCTGCCTGTTACTTAGCCAACGACAGGATGCATTTCCGCTCACCTATTTCTGCAGGATACAATGTTGCAGCAGCTTCCTGAAGGGCAGGATTTGGGCATTGATCTCTAATTGATGCCACCCAACCAAATGGACTATGACTTTAAGGTCCAAATATGTTGTCCATATGCTTGGCTTCGAGATGACTTTTCAAATTCATTGCTGTTTCTTGCGGTCGTATGTACTTGAAATACACAAGAGGAAAAACCATTCTAGGATAGAGAACACCCTTCAAAGCACGTCCACTCTCAAGTACCGTTGTTGTGCACAAATGCGGTATTCTTAACGGCACGACGGATCAAGTCATTCTTAATAAATGCTTTCACTTTCATTGCCCAACACCGCAAACTTGGGGGCGGCGCTTAAGAAGGCGGTTGATGATATCGGAGACTAGGGGGAGGGGATAGCGATTCTTCACGGTGATCTCGTTGAGTTTCCAGTAGTCCTAAATGAAACGGAGTCTGCCGTCCTTCTTCTTAACGAAGAAGACGGGGGACGAGAGGGGCAATTTTGATGGCTGGATGTACCCCTTCTTGAGATTTTCGTCGAGGAATCGTTGAGTTCCTCTTGTTCGTTTTTGGACATGGGGTAGACCTTGGTCCGCATGGTGGCCAGTGCTCCAGGGGTGAGGTCGATGGCATGTTCCCAGGGTTTATGCTCAGGGAGGCGATGGGATTCGGATTCAGAAAAGACGGAGGCGTGGAGCGGGGACCATCTCTTCGAATGACTTCTGTGGTTTGGCCTTCTGGGTTCTTCGGCTATCCGTTGGGAATAAGTGAAGCCGGTGGCGCACCAGAGTTCATCTCCTGTTTCCTTGATCAATCCTGCACGAAGCCACTTCCAACGAGTGGTCCGATTGGCTCGGATGCGACAGAGGGCTGGTTTGTCATCTTCGGGTTTGGGTTTGGGGGCTGGGGAGGGGACCAGTTTGGGGAGGGGATCAGGAGCTGGTGGTTCAGGTATGGTGTCGATCTGCTCCAATATGGCATCGCCGGAAGGAGCGCCGCGGAACGGGGGTCGGGCATCATCGTCTGGCACCTCCTCAATGGTAACGCTGGCGACCTTGGGTTTGGGAATGTGTAGGGTGCCTTTGCGCCAGTTGATGGTGGGATTGAGCTTGCGAAGCCAGGGAAGTCCTCAGGATGATGTCCTCTCCCCCGAGATCGGCGATAAGGAAGTCGGTCCATTCCGTGTGTCCATCAACCGTGAGTTCCTGTCGGGCGAAGTGTGTCACACTGCCAGCCTGATTGGGTGATCCGTCAATGTTGAGAAGCTGAATGGGGTGTCGAAGGGGAAAAGCTGTGATCCGAATGTTTCTCCACAAAAGGTTTGTCCAGGAATCAACCAGTTTCACCACTGTTGACCATTGCTCCGGATTCCGTACTCCGATTTCTGCCTCTAAGCCTCACGTTCACGCGAAAATGTGATGAACCAGGGTATATTTTGCGGATGGCGCTAATAGTACATGATCGCATAGAGTCGTATTCGGAAATCGGGTATGGGTTGAAGGGTGAATGTGTCGCAGCTTTTACAGACACCCTTCGCCGAAATCCTGCTTCTGGAATTGTTTGAGGCGAGCCAAAGTCTCCTGTTGCTTCTGCTGGACGGCCAGGAGGTCGGCAATGGAGAAGTTGGGCAGAGCGGGGGCAGCGGACGTGGAAGCGATGGTGGTAGTGGACGAATCGTTGAAGAGAGAAAAGGGAGCTTCCTGGGTGGCAGCAACATGACGACGTTGGGTGAGTCCTCGACCGGGTGGGTAGCGCATGAACTTGTCTTGGCAGACGTTAGCGGAGTGGCCGAGGCGTTGGCAGTGGTTGCAACAAAGCGAGCTGTGATTGCCGTCCTTCTTGATGTGGGTGGAGGTGATCCGCAACCAAAGCATCGTCCACGCAGGCTGAGCACGAGTCCATCCGCGGATATACCCATACTCGTGACTGCGGGTACCTGCTACTCAAAAAGGCAAACCCGTATCCACGGGTTTTACTTTCCCACGGGTACCTGTACCTGCGGGTACGGGTTTTTTGCAGGTAACCTGCGGGTTTTGTGCGAAAAATCATGAGTACCTGCAGAAAAATATGAGAAAATCCATACCTGTATCCGCGGGTTTAATTTCCCACGGGTACCTGTACTCACGGATACGGGTTTTCGCAGGTTTTCCCACGGATAAACCTGCGAGTGCGACAGGTATACTCGTACTTGTGCTCAGCCTTATCGTCCACGCATCGCTTGGAGGAAGTCCTCGCGGGAGCGGCCACTGGGTCTGACACGGGTTGCGTCAATGTCCATAGCGTAGGGGTCACGGGCTGGGGTAGAGTGAGACGAGGTGGTCGGGTTCAAGAAAGAGGTGCTGCTTCCGTGGAACGTGAAGTCGTTCTGATTGACAATATCACAGTAGTCCTGGAGGGATCTTGGGCTTGGCATTGTCCGGGTTTGGTGATTGCGATGAGATCCAGCATGAGGTGATCGTTGGAACTGAGTTTGCGACAAAAACGTGCCATACCATCCTTCTGGGATAGACCGGTGCGGGGAAAGATCTTGGGCTTCAGCTGCCTTCTCCTGGTCGGCAGGTTGGAAGCGCTTCTTGATGTTGATGGCATGGCTTTCATGGGCTCGTTGATGGGGATCCCTGGTGAAGATCAGTCTTTCAGTGTACAAAGAGCGCTTAAATTGAGAGATATACCTTGTTGAACCCCCTAAGTTGTATGGTTTACCCCAGAGACGGTTGGCCGTGCTTGCCGTCTGCCACCCGCAGATGCGTCTATTTTGGGAACGCCAAGAGTTTCATTTCGTTTGAGCGCTGTGTCGTAAAACAGCGCCCAAACGTAACGGAAAGTCTCAGGACACGCCCACAAAAGTCTGGTTTGACTTTTGTGACATGTCATTCTTTCTCCTTCACTTTTAAACCCCCCACACTCGACTTTGCCTTTCCCAGATCCCTTCCTTCCCTCATTCTCGCTCCCTCCTCTCTCTCCGATGGGTCGCCGCCACTGACGATGCCCAGACATTGTCGAGATCGTGCAACGTGTTTTTGCTGACGATTTGGAGGGGAAATTGGGGACTTGTAGCCGGTATGGGCGGGTTAGGAGTAGCTCGAGAGGCCTCATTCATTATCCAAGGTCCGTGGTTGGCTGGCTAGTACCCTTGGCCATGCACTCACATGTTTTTTCAGGTGCAACGACGGCCGAACCCGCCCTATTTAAACATTGGCTCTTCCACCACGCCTCTCCAACTGTCGACTGTGTGGCGACTTCGAGAACACAATGACCACTGCGTCGTCAACTTCGACGCCGAACAGCAACCTTCGCCGCTCCGGCCGTGCCCATGTCCCGAGTAAGCGCCTTCAAGAGGCTCGGGGTGACTACAGCGACGACCACCACCACCATCCATCTAACGCCGAAGACTCCGACGCCTCTATTCAAGAGGTGGCCAACAGCTCCCAGCCAGTCTCCTCGACACCGCCCGCCACTGAAGAGGACGCCAACGCAACTGTTCAGTGCTCTCACTTTGCTACTCGTTTTGATATCTACAACAAGACCAATGAGGAAGTTCTAGGTACGCATCTCCCCTTGGATTTGTCACACTCTGTTCTGAAATGAGCCTTATCTTCAGCGGCGCAGAGGGCTACCTGGACGTCGTCGTGTTACGACCATTTCAAGGCACCCACTATCAAGGAGGAGGGAGGTGTCGTGTGGTATCAATTCGCCTGCAAGAGGTTTGTCCCTTTATCCCTATGGTATTTACTTAGACTTACCCTGGACCAAGCCATCCTAGCATCGTCGTTCGGCGCTGTCGGACGGATGAGAGCACGGGTAACCTCGTTTGCCACGTCAAAGGTTGCACCCCTGTTGACAACGCCGAGTCCCGGGCCATCTCTGCCTTCGCCCATGGCTCTGTATACAACAAGCTTCGGCATCGCGTCCAGATTGCCATTTGGATTGCCAAGTCCCGCCGCCCCTTCTCCATCATTGAAGACCCCGACCTGAATCAAATCATGAAAGACCTGAACTCGGCTGTTGAGAACCCAACTCGCAGGATGGTATCCCGCGACATCCAACAGATCTTCAAGATCACACGGGACTCTGTCAAGGCGAAGCTGCAGGTAAATCCACTTCATAATTCCTCATAGACTAGCCCTCAGTATACTTGTTGTTGTTAGGCCTATCCAGGCATGCTCCACATTGCTGCGGATGGCTGGACTTCCCCGAATGTCATCTCGTTCATTGGTGCTACCATTCACTACCTCGGCGATGACTCCTCAATCGTATCAAACATCCTCGACTTCATCAAGTATGTTCTGTGTTTACTTTCGCCTCGCTTTATTGATGACTTTACCCTTTCCAGATTGAAGGAAGCTCACACTGGGCAATACCTTGCATCCAAGCTAGCGAGCTGCCTCAACGAATACGGAATCACAGACAAGGTAAGTAAGGCTCTCTTTGATATGAACATTATTTTGACCGTATGTCTAGATCTTGGCTTTCACAGGCGACAATGTGTCGAACAACGACACGATGTTGGAGGAACTCAAGCTCCTCATCCCTGGGTTCCGTGGTGAGAAGGTTCAGGTGCGGTGCTTTGCACATGTCCTCAATCTCATTGTCAAGGTGCGTTCGGATTTTTATTATCATTAGCACTGCTTACTCACTGTTGGCGTTGTAGGCTGTCCTTTCTGCCTTTGCCAAGACACTCAAGACCACGGAAGCCACCTCCCTCGGCGACCTCAACGACGACCTCGATGACGACGACGACTCAGACGTTGAGTCAGTCAGTGACAACGACGACGGCGACAACGCTGTGGCTGATGACTATGAGGTCCCTCCTGGGCTGGAGGAGAGTGATGCGACCCAGGTTCAAGAGATTGCTGACGAAGCCGACTTAGATGAGAGGTTGGCTCGCATGAGCTCTGCCGACTCTCGACTGGCGCGTGACTCTATCACAAAGGTTCGGATATTGTCGTGTTACCATCCTTTCAATTTATCTGATGAGGTAGTGATAGTTGCGCAAGCTTGCTATTAGAATATGTAATAGTCCTACAATATCCAAAGACCTCAAGTCATGCTGCGAACAAACCAACCTCCCCGCAAAAAAGATGATCAAGGACGTAGCCACCCGTTGGAACAGCACCGCCGAGTTGCTCCAGCGTGCCTTGGAGCTCTGCGCTGCCCTTGACCGTCTCACCAACATGCCAGAGCACAACCGAGCCCGTGGTGCACGCTTGCAGCGCTTTAGGTTGTCGAGTGATGAGTGGAAGGTGGTGAATGAGTTAGCACCTCTCCTAGATGTATGTGTACCTTACTTTCCTAACTCTTGGCCACTCACTTATCATCGGTTCTTAGGGCATGCTATACGTTACGAAGGTTGTCTCTCAGAGCCGTGTACCTTTGGTACAGGATGTCATTCCTCTCATCGACTCGTTGACATCGTTGTTCGACGAGTACATTGGTGATGAGTCGCTCATGCTCCCTGTCCGCCATGCTGCCTTGCGGGGCCTCAAGATGCTGAACAAATACTACGCGAGGACCGACAAATCAATCATCTACCAGCATTGCCATGAGTATGTATCCCTCCAAAGGGCTGTGGCTTTCGTTTGCTCAATCCGGACGATCAATCCCCAGGGTTTGGAAGAGGGAGGAGGAGGTCATGGCTACCTGGGCGAGATCTGGTGCATCTTTTGCAATCTTGGGCGCGTTTTAAAGCTGACGTCTGAGAGTATTGACGTGCCCAAAACAACAATGTACGTCGCTGTCGTTTGGGAGATATCCACTGGCGGGTTTTCTGTTTTGGGAGGAAGAAGAAGGCTACTATGAAGGTGACATAACGACTGACTTTAATCTCAAAGTACTTCAAAAAGCTGGAAGAAAATCATTGATTGTATGTATCTATGCAAAGTCTGACATTCTCTGAAACGTTTGAGTGAAGGTGTTTCCAGAGGAGCCTTATTTAAGCCGAGTCACTGCCATGCATATGCATTGGCCCGTATACTAGTCTGCTCCCCAATACAACTACTTTGCCCCTGCCATGCCCGTTTCCCCCTCTCAACGAGGAGGAATCCCTTTTCATGGTCACCAACGCCCAGTATGCCATCCGACTCGAGAATAGACTTCTCGAGACCCCTCGTGCGGAGCCCGTCGCTTGCATCGTCTCTATCGGGCATATGATTGCCCTCATCATTGCCCAACTTATGGGCATAGTCAACACCCTCCACCAGTTCGTCTTTGGGATTCACGAGCATCTTGTACACCGTCCTGAAATCACCGATCTCGTACTGGAGCTTCGAAACCCCCAACCTGAAGCTCCAGGCCCCCAACTCTATCACCACATTCCCCAACAATCTCCCCCACCTCCTATGCCCATTCCTGACAATATTCCCTCGCCTATTATGCAACAACCACCTCAACCTTGTATGCCAACTCCCGGACCATCCTCCAATATCATATATCGGGCGACTCTACGGGATACTTCATTCTCATTCGACCCCAATGATCTCCCTCCTCTCCAATACCCTCCGACACCAACTCCCCCATCTGCTCCCCAAAAGGAGATCATCAACGTCAACGACCCCACCCAGCCATGGAACCAACCTTTAGGTTCCGAACTAAACCCAATTTGGGTTCGCGACTTCATCTCCCGCCTTCGACAAATCGGAATTCCGACTTGCAACCTTTGCCACAAGACAGGGCATCTCGCTAGCCGTTGCAAAGGAAAAGGTAAACTCCAGGAGTAGTTTAGAAACATATATAATTCTTTTTGCCCCAAGGGGCCACAGGATCGTACATGCAGAAAGAAATTGCCCCTAAGGGCCGACACGATGAAGATTGTGAACCCCCCCGCATTCAGAACCCCCTACCCGATGATTGATGATTCCTCCGAACCCTTCCGACCTCCGCTCCTGCTCTTCCTTCCCCTTCCTCTCCCGAAATAGTCGCTAGTGCTCGCCTCCGAAGCAGGAGGGCCCAGTCGTAGCGGCCAGGCACCTGCTGCGCCTCCATCTCCACCAGGCGGCGCAAGTTGTTGGCGCTCCAGTGACGCACGTTGCCCGCATCTCCTCCAAGAGCGCCGCATCGCGGGAGTCGACCCTCTCCGCAAAATCGCCAATAAACGTCATGAACTTGCCAGCCTTGGTGAGGAACTCCTGGAGACCCGCGGGTTGCGGAGCTACGCCCCCGGAAGCAGTGGGACGGGGGCGGCCATGGCGCACGGAAGCTGCGCGGGGCTGTCGCGGTGTTGTCGTGAAAGTCGCTGGACTCCAGTTCGCTATTTTAACAGGTTATGAGCCCCGGCTCCCTCTAGCCACCTCCTGAACAGCCAACTCGACCCTCCCAGCAGTTGTTTCGCAATTTTCTGCGCAACCAAAGGCCACGTCATCCTCGTTTTTCTGCCACGTCCCCTCGTACGTGCGCGCTACCTCTTCCCTCAACAACGAACGCCCCTCGCTGTTCGTTCACCCGCTATCTACCGTTCGAATCCGCTGTCCGCTCACTGTGAGCTACGCATCCAGACTCATTTCGACTCTACCCCCTCGGTTTCACCGCCGTTTCCCTCGTTTTTTCGCGCACGCCCCTACGTCTCCGTCCACCATCGCTCACGATGTCAACGTCGACTCCGACCTTCGCCAAGCTCGGCCCAACGAACTACAGTCTCTGGGCTGGTGACATGGAGGCCTGGTTCCGGGCCCTTGCGCTCTGGAGAATTGTCAATGGCACCTCCCTTCGCCCTGCCCCGTGTTGGGGACATTACACCGTCCCCAGACGCGGTAGAGGCCTGGGAGACCAAGGCAGACAAGGCTGCTGGCTGGATCTGGCTTATGCTGGAGGACAGTCAGAAGATCCATGTTTCTTCGCACAGGGACGATCCCTGCAAGATGTGGACGCTGCTGCGTGACGCCCACATGCAGCAGAAGCCTGGCACCCGCTTCAGCGCCTACGACGACCTCTTCTCCATCCGGAAACGCGAAGACGAGTCCCTCCAGGCCCTCATGAACCGTGTGGACGACGTTATGACGCTCATCAAGGACCTCCGGCCTGCCGACTTCACCCTGGACAAGCTGGACAACGAGCTGACCGCTATGGCCCTCATCCGGGCGCTCCCTGAGGAGTTCAGCGCCTTCACCTCGTCGCTCCTGCTCCTGGACAAGCTCGATAGCGAGACCATCCGTCAGGCGTTCATTGCTGAAGAAGCCCAGCGCCGTCGTCGCGCAAATGACGCCTCCACCGCCGCTCTCGCCCATTCCGCTTCGACCCCGCCCTCCTGCGACTTCTGTGGCATGAACAACCACGCCATCGCCACCTGCCATGCCTACAGCCGTGCCCAGGCCAACGCCAGGGACAACGTAGTCAAGCGTCGCAAGAAGCGCGGTCAGCAAGGAAAACAAGCGCAAGACTCCGCTCCCACTGACGCATCGGCCTCCCATGCCTCTGCAGACGTGGTTGAGTACGCCGGAAATGCAAGTACTCGTCTCCCGGATCCCAGGGATCCCTCCTCTCCACTCCAGCTCGATGCTGACTTTGATTGGATTGCAGACACAGGCGCCACTTCTCATATGACCCCCCATCGTCACTGGGTGCGGAACTATGTCCCCTGTCGCATTCCAGTCAAGTTGGCAGACCACAGCATTGTCTATGCTGTTGGTATGGGCACAACAGTCTTCCAGCCTGTTGTAGATGGGAGGGCCTCTAGGCCGGTCGAGTTATCACGAGTTTTGCATGTACCAGAGCTTCGGAGCAATCTGCTGTCTTGTTTGTACCTTACCCGGGTCAAGGGTTTCAATATACTCATTTCTTCTTTGCAACTTCGCTTCATTCGTGCTGGTTCATGCCTATTCACCGCCTCCATCCATCCCAACAACTCTGCAACGCTCGATGGCACCACTGCAGCCTCTGTGGAAGCAGCCTCAGCCGCCTCCACTGTCCCTGTCACCCTTGAACTCCTCCATCGTCGCCTCATTCACCACAACCACGCTGATATCAAGCGTTTGCTGGACAACAAGATGGCGACTGGCATTCCTACCATCTCTACCGCGAAGCCTGACCCGGTCTGCGAGCCCTGCATTGATGGCAAGTTACAGTCTGGCTCCTTTCCTTCTACAGGCAACCGAGCTTCCGCTCCGCTCGATCTCGTCCATTCTGACTTGCACGGCCCCAAGGAGGTCCCTACTCGCGAGGGATACAGTGATCCGACGCTCCTTGAGCCACCTGCTGATATCTCGAGTGTGGATTACCCGATAAGCTAGATCTTTTGTGATATTGTGTAGACCAATCGGACGTATCTCAATTTCGAGTTTCAAGGCGATAGACCAAGTAGGAAAGGTTTGGGATAAAAATCAGTGGCAAAAATGCCGAAATTTGATATTCACAACTTTTCTCTTCAAGGTTTTCTGAATGTAGTATGGAAACCTGCTCGGGGAATGGGTAGATCCGAATACTAGACTATTCTAGCATTATTTTAAGCCCAAATTTGTGGTGATACGGTCAAAAGTAGACGCTGCATGGTGGGTCGAATGTCGAACCCTCATTATCGACTCCTCAAAGGCACAGTGTTTCTCTTCAGATGACATCCTGAACGGGCTCCGGGGTCAAGAGGCGAGGAAGGAGGAGGAAGCTGCAGCCAAGAAGGCTAGAGCTGACACGAGGGCTGCAAAGCGAGAGGCTGTAGCAAAGCTGGAAGTCGAGTGGAAGAAGATAAAGGCTCAACATGAAGAAAACAAGGAAAGATGGAAGCTTACCTGCAAGAAACTGCGCTCCGAAGGCATTCCAAAGAAGAATTTACCAAAGGCGCCCACATGCCCTCGAAAACCGAAGCTCCCTAGCCATTTCACGGCCGTAGTCGACGACGACGACGAAGAAGAAGAGGAATCCGATAAAGATTTATCTGCCCGGAGTACCGGTTCCGACGATTCCGCGCATGTGTCCCACGGGTGGCTCAACTCGCGTACTCGCTCCATCAGTCTCTCACAGCGCCAGTACATCGTCGACATGCTCAAGCGCTTCAATATGGACGCCTGCAACAAGGTGGACACTCCCTTCATGTTTAGTATCATTCGAACCGACCTTTTACGCTCTTTCTAACGGTGACTCGGGGGACGGTAATCCGTGCTCGTCGAAGATGGCTCGTTCTGAGATGACGAACTTCTTGGTGGTGGGGTTGTAGAAGCGCCAGCCCTTGTAGCCAGGGGGATAACCCACAAAGATGCACTTTTGCGCGTGCGGCTGAAGCGATTTGCGCTGGTCCTTCTGCACAAACACATAGGCCGTGCACCCAAACACCCTGATCATGCTGAGATCTGGCTTGCGCTTGTACCACGCCTCGTAAGGCGTCATGCCAGGAAGTGAAGCAGTGGGCAGGCAGTTCCAGATCTTGATCTGAGTCGCCAGGGCCTCACCCCAAAACGAAGGAGGCAGCTTGGACTCGGAAAGCATGGCCTTGATGTCCTCGTTCATCGTCCTGTTCGCTCGCTCTGCATCTCCGTTCTGCTGGGGCCTGTTGCGCGTCGTATGGCGGCGCTCGATGCCGCAGTCGTCCGTAAACTTGCGAAATGCGTTGGACATGTACTCCCCGCCCTTGTCGTCATGCAAACACTTGATCTTTGCGCCCAACTGGGTCTCTGCCCATGCCTTGTATCTCCGGAATGCGTCGAAAGCATCGCTCTTGCGCTTGAGAGGCACAGCAACGCGGAAACGAGTGCAGTCGTCGATGAA